TGATTCCGGGAAGCCCAAGGCAGACCAACCTGGCAGCACCCCAGCTGCTCTGCCGCAGGTGTCCCGATTCAGCTGCTGCTGAAACTGACCAGGAGCGGCTGAATCGGGGATGCCTGGGGCAGAGCCGGACTATCAGAAGGGGGGGCTATGAGGGGTCTGGGGTGGCATCCCCCCACTCTACCCTAGACCCCTCATAGCCCTCCCTTCCAATAGTCCGGCATATCTGATAATCCGGCACCCCCTGCGTCCTAAAGGTGCCGGATTATCTGCAGTTTACTGTAGTTACATCACCTAGCAAGATACTCGGGGATGCCTGGGGCAGAGCCGGACTATCAGAAGGGGGGGCTATGAGGGGTCTGGGGTGGCATCCCCCCACTCTACCCTAGACCCCTCATAGCCCTCCCTTCCAATAGTCCGGCATATCTGATAATCCGGCACCCCCTGCGTCCTAAAGGTGCCGGATTATCTGCAGTTTACTGTAGTTACATCACCTAGCAAGATACTGTATTATTCTAAGTCCACATCACTGCCGGAGAGCCTGTGTTATTCCCCCATTTGGCTAGCATTATTATTTTTTGCCAGATGGCGGTGTCTTCAGCTCTTTCTTTAAAGCACCTGGAGAGTCTGATGCCTGGGTTTTAATTTCTCCTCTGTTGATGCCTTTCTTTTTCCTGCACAGATGATGAAGAGCCAGAATGGGTAGAGGTGATAGTGGAAATCCTTCTATCCCTCCTCTCACAGCCCAGCCTACTTATGCGCAGGGTATCTAAAAGCGTGTTTGGACGCATATGTCCTTACATGTCAAAGAAGGCTCTGCATCTGATCTTGGATGTAAGTAAGGGACCGGGGCAGGGGAGCTGGATTGGTTGAAGTTTCTGGTTGTTTTACAAGTAAAGTGAAGTTTTGGTTAAATGAGGACAGTAAGGGCTCGGGGGGTTTTGGTACAGAAAGCAGCTCCTTTGCCTTCTAGTTTGTGGCCTGCTATCTAGGGATTTAAAATCCCCTTTAATTAGTTAACCAGGTAAATGTTAAGTTTAGCCAGTTAACTGATTAAACGGGGGAGCTGGGATGAAGCTCCCCTGTCCACAGTGCACCCCACGCTGGACCTGCCCTGGGTAAAAGCTGCTTCAGTTAAGGGTGAGGCTTACCAGTTATTCATTAACATCCCTAGAGCTCTGTTACTCTAGGTCCAGGAGCATGTGTCTAGTTTCTAGCTCAGGGGTTGAAAGCGAGGCCTCTGAGAGAGGGCAGCTATGAAATGAGAGTGTTCTATAGTATCGAGGGTGGCAGCCGTGTTAGTCTGTATCTGCAAAAACAACGAGGAGTCCTGTGGCACCTTAGAGCCTAACAGATTTATTTCGGCCTAAGCTTTCGTGGGCAAAAACCCACTTCGCCAGATGCATCTTAGGCCCGAATAAATTTGCTAGAACAACAGGATTCCTCGTTGTTCTAAAGCATGTACATAAAAAGCATCTTATGAGCGAATTTGTGCATGGCCTCTTGTTCTTGAACTAGGGAACCTGGTGATGGCTTATATTTGGTGACTTTTTTTCTTCTGTCTTTAGTGTGGGAAATTGTGTCCCTTTATATACCACTTTGGTTTATATGGTCTAGCATGTATGGTAATTTAAAACATATTAAAAGTCCTTGAAATTCAAAATCGGATTGAATATGGTTACGTTACACCTAATGCCACATCACCTGAGAGAATAATCTATTGGTCGTCCCCCCCCACCCCCCCAAAAGCTACAAAGTACTTCCTGTGAGGAATGTAATGTGTTTTGAGTTAAAAACAAGTTATTTACTTGTTCCCATAATATGAGAACTAGGGGCCACCAAATGAAACTAACGGGCAGCAGGTTTAAAACAAATAAAAGGAAGTTCTTCTTCACACAGCTCATAGTCAATCTGTGGAACTCCTTGCCTGAGGAGGTTGTGAAGGCTAGGACTGTAACAGGGTTTAAAAGAGAACTAGATACATTCATGGAGGTTAAGGCTATTAGCCAGTATGGGTAAGGAATGGTGTCCCTTGCCTCTGTTTGTCAGAGGGTGGAGATGGATGGCAGGAGAGAGATCGCTTGATCATTATCTGTTCGATTCACTCCCTTTGGGACACCTGGCATTGGCCACTGTCTGCAGACAGGGTACTGGGCTGGATGGATCTTTGGTCCGACTCAGTATGGCCATTCTTATGTTCTAAAATGTCAGTTAATTTTACGAGTATCAGAGGGGTAGCCCTGTTAGTCCGAATCTGCAAAACCAACGAGAAGTCCTGTGGCACCTTATAGACTAACAGATTTATTGGAGCGTCAGATTTTGTGGGCAAAGACTCATCTGACTCATCATACCTATGACTTTTTGTAAGTAACAGGTATAAAAGTATTGCTGCCTGCTCAAAAGCGGTTTATAGCCTGTTATAACTTGAATGGGGTCGTTGTTCATCTCATTCGGTTTGCTGTGAACAGCTGGACATTCTGTATTAAGAAACAGTCGGACTTATTTGGAAAGCTCTTCCGCAGGTGCTTGATCCGGAGCAAGACCAGGATGAAGAATGTGCTGTCGTTGTGATGGAAGAAACAGACAAAAAGAAGAAAAGCTCAGGGGCAAATATGGTAACTCTCCTTCATTTAAAGAAATAATTTTCCATCTCTGACTATTGAAAACTTTGTTATTGCAGATCTGTGGCTTGGGAAGTTAGTTGCATTTCTCTCTCAATTAATGCTAAGGTGAATTTTTCTTATGTCGTCTGAAGACATTTCATTGAAAGTGTCTAACTCCGGGGTGGCCAATCTGTGGCTCTTAAGCCACATGCGGCTCTTTGCTCACAGAAATGCGGCTCTCAGGGTTGCGGCTTGTTTGGAGCCACGTGCCTGCTTTGTGCATGCGCCCCAGTTCCTGGAGGGAGAAGTGTGTGGCTGTGGCGATGGCCACTCCGGTGAGACCCAGGCATTGGGTTAGAATGGGAGAGTCCTGGAGGTGCCTGGCTCTGGGGAGGACACTGGGTTAGAGTGGGGGGGCTGCGGGTGCCTGGCTCTGGGGGAGAGATATGTGGCTTTTTACTCTACTATCCACGTCTCTTTTGGCTCTTCGTATCTAACTGGTTGGCCACCCCTGGTCTAACTGATCATCTGTGGGTCCTGAAGAAAAATCATATTGGAAAAGACGAAGCATGTGATTTCCACAGAAGAGGGCTGCACATCCCACAAGGCACCTGGGTTATTACCTCCTGGTGGTGGTGAAGCAGAAAGGTTGCAGCTTGACTATCTGTTGTGACTCAGGGTGGTCTGGGCCCTGGAGCTCACTGTGAGGTTCTGCAGTGACTCGAGAGTAGGCCAAATCCAAGTTCATTAGGCATGAAAATAACAAGGCCCCTCCTGCAGTGCTTGCGGGTCTTCTCCAAAGTCTGCCCCGACTGACTTCTCTTTGGTAATTCTCTTACATTATACTCTGGAGAGGTGTCCCGGCCTGTCCTGCTCTTTCTGCTACAATCTTAACCCTTTCCTGCAGACTGGGTGTCCTTTCAGCCAGCAGCCTGCCCAGCCGAGGCTGCAGGGAGGGTATCATTGGAAAAGCGAACATTGCCATTTCCAGGGCTCGACAAACAATACAGTCTACTTGCCCGTGGCGAGTAGATTTCAGCCATGTGCCCCGTTCATTCGCGGCGCGTGCATGCGCAGTACAGGGCTGGTGAGTGGTTTTCGCCGTCGTTTGTCAAGCCCTGGCCATTGCCTCTTCTTTGTCTTGTCAGCCTTCCATTCCCACACCACTTCGGAAGTGGAGCAGGGCGTATCATTGATGAGAACCCTTGTAATCAATGATCGCTCCCGCCAAGACCTGTGGGGAACATTTAATTGGTGGGATGGACTCTTCTTCTTCCCAGGACGAGGAGGAAAGCGCAGACTCTTCTGATGACAACAGCTCCGCGGAAGACGGAGAGGAAGACAGTGAAGACGAGAATAATACGGATGACGTAGATGAAAATTTTCGGAATCAGCTGATGAATGTCCTACAAGCAGGGAATGCCTTGGTAGGTGTTGGCAAACCTGCAAGATGGTTGGTGCTTTGGAGGGCATAAGAGGAAGTGTCTGACTATGCCGTGGTACAGTGTAACTAAGGCCCTGATGCAGTCTAATCCTCTTTCCTCTGGATAGCGAGAACCCTGATCCTCTATCCTTTTATACCAGTGTTTCTTAAACTTTTTAAGACTGAGGAACACCAAACTATATATTTTTTTTTATGGGGAATACCAGGTTTTTTTTGGTTTTTTTTGTTGAGAGTAGGGAGAAAAAAGGGGAGGAAAATTGATGAGCAGAGCAAAACAAACAAACAAAAAAGGACAGGGGAAAGAAGTTGTTAAGCAGAAAAAGCCAAACCGTTTGCCTTTTTAAGGGTGGCCATTTTGAACTCTGTTCTCCACGGCACACCTCCTACTGCCTCGTGCTGCGGAACATATTTTAAGAAACGCTGCTTTATACGTATTTGAAACCCGTGGCTGGTGTTTTCACAGGCGTCTAAGGGAGTTAGGCACTTACTTCCTATTGAAAGTCAGTGGGGCTTGAGTCCCAAGTACCATTCAAGCTCCTCTGTAAATTTATCCCTGTAACTCCAAGTTTATGCCTCAGGCAATATCTGATGCTCTTGGGCTCTTCCACGCAGTATGGCTGGTGGTCTGGATTCAGGTTGCGTGTGGGAGCGCAGTGCCTGCATATGCTGCCTGTGGAGACTGCTCATGCCGGTGTTAGCAGAGTGTCGGGCAGTTGGGGGATAGTAAACCTGAGCATTTATATAGAGGAGTGGCTAAATGTTAGTCCACTTTACTGAGGGAACAACTATGGCACTGAGAGAGCTGCCAAAGATCACACCATGAGCCAGAGACCAGAGGGAAACCCAGGCCTCTTTCCCATCACTAGGCCTCTGCAATCAGGGTTATTTGGTTAAAACGTATGACTCAAGTTCCCGAGCCCTGCCCTAGAATTCCCCCTCTGCAGAAGGAGAAAATCTTATGGAAGGATTTTAAGATGAAGGTAGGAGGCAAATATCCTATCGAATGGCCCACGTCTATCTTCGTAGCACGTTGTTAGACAGCTGGGTGTATTTTATTGAGTTGAATAAGTTGCTAAAGAAACCGGGAACATTAAATGTCCAGTTAGAGTGTGAGCTTCAGAATAAAACAATCCCGGTCAAAATTTTCCACCTGCACTTACCACATGGAAGGGGTTGGAGCACAAAAGTTGTCCCTTCGCCCGAGTGGCCATGTTGGAAGCCGTCTGAGTTGGGCCCACACTGTGTAAGTGTTTCTGCCTCTTGCTTCTCTCTGGGCAGGGTGGCTGGAAAACACCTGTCTCGTCATTTACGCAGTCATCTGGCTGTCAGAGACATGCATGCATGCAAGATCAAGGCAGGTAGTTGATCTTTTAAGCATCTCTGCTGCCTTCTTCCAACCCTGTGAGTGGGAGGCATCTGCTGTGCTAATCGGTGCTGGGTAAAAGCGTCTAAAATTCAAGTTGGTCTCCACGTGTGCGGAAGTCTGTCCGGCACTTACACTAGCCAATTCCATCCCGTCCTGCTTGAGGCTAGAACGCTCCGTTGCTCGAAGTGTTTGGACCCCAGAGAAATGTAGTCCCAAGAGGCTGGGGAAAAGAGGAATTTGAATTTTAAAATAAGTAAAATTGTTGTTTGTTTTTCAAGGGAGGAGATCAGAGCGATGATGACGTGGATGACGAGACTATGCTGGCCCTCGATGAGAACATTTCGGCCCTCTTTGCCGAACAGCAGAAGCGAATCCAGGCAAAGAAGGACGAGAAAGAAAAGATGCGGAAGGAGAAAATCTTACGGAGGGATTTTAAGATTAAGGTAGGAGGCAAATTTCCTATCAAATGGCCCATGTCTATCTTTGTTGCATATTGTTAGACAGCTGGATGTATTTTATTGGGTTGAATAAGCTGCAAAAGAAACCAGAAATATTAAATGTCCATTTAGAGTGTAAGCTTTAGATGAAAACAGTCCCTGTCTCATGGCATTTGTACAGTTCCTAGCCAATGTTCCCTCCAATTTTTTCCATCCTTGTGCAGGATAAATTTTGTTATGTGCACTGAGGCATGCGTGGATGTGCATCACCAGTAGCAACACATGCTGCCAGCTCTGGACATTGGCGCTCTGCTAATCAGCTGGGTGGCATTTACATCTCTCCTGGGTGGTTGCTGAAGCACTCAGTTGACAGGAACACTGCTTTTAGCACGTTGGGGATTCTAGATCATGAAAAGGACTCTAAAGTCCCACTGCAATATGTAAAATAATAATAATAATTAATAAAAAGTAGGGCTGTCAAGTGATTAAAAAAATTGTGTGATTAATTGCGTGCGCTGCCCCTTTGAAACGCTGCGGTGGCATTTCAAAGGGGCAGCACTGCAGGAGCCCAGGATCAGCTGGAGTCCCCAGCTGACCCTGGCTCCGTGCCTTGCTGCCCTTTGGAAATGCTGCCCTGGCGTCTCCAAGGGGCAGCACTGTGGGAGCCCAGGGTCAGCTGAGGACTCCAGCTGATCCCAGGCTCCTTTGAAGTGCCAGGGCAGGGCTTGAAAGGGACAGCGCAGCATTAACGCCTGCGATTAATGTGTTAAAAGAAATTAATGCGTTAATCCTGCCCTGCGTTAATCGCAGCCGTGAACGCACATCAGTTGACAGCCCTAATAAAAAGCAAAGCTTTTCAAAAGACAGCAGTGATTTTAGGTGCCATAACTGTTGTACGCTCAATTGGAGATGTCTTAAAAGGGCCTGATTTTTCAGATCAGACTTGGCACTTTTTGATTTTTATGTCTCAAGTTGGGCATCAAGAAGTTGAAGCATCCAGAATCCCTTCTAGAAACTCTTGGCTGTATGTTTTCCCTGGCCTATTGGGTATAATAATGGCCGGTCTTGGAGATGAACTGGGCAGTGAAACCAGTTACCCTGGGTAGCTGTGAATGTAGTATTGATTCACGACTGCTAGATGGCAGTAGAATCTATAGAATTGATTGAGATTTGTCAAGCTGCTTCATCCAGTAAAAGGATTTTTGTGCAGTAACTTTTTCATAAATGTTGACAATGCAAGAGGGAGAAAAAGGAACCAAAGGGTGTCCAGGGTCCTTGGAGCATCTGAATTTTCATTTTAGTTACCTCCACCTGTGAACTGGTTTGAGATCACCATGTTGGGCTGGAAGTGAGTGGGCCAGATGCTTAACTACGGAAGTGATTGTCCATTTTGTTAACGCTAGTTGACACCTTTTGAGGATCTGGCTGGGAAATGTCATTGACCCATCAGCAACACCAGGAGACTCACTAACCACAGAGCACTGTCAAATGTACTAACTCGAGGGAAAAACCCAGACATTTTCTTCACTCATCTCTGTCAGTTACAGCAATTCTAGGTGTTAGTAGGTGTCCCATTTTCACATGAAAATGTGATATATTTTTTAAGTGTTTCATTTTTATCCTGCAAGTTGACAAGTGTGCCTTGAAAATAGACCAGTCGAGGGAGCTGTTCTTGGCACATCCTGCTGCCCCACATAGCAGGGATTCTCTTTTAAATGACCGGTATTCCTAGGTGCTGGACCTTGTTGAGGTGTTCCTTGCTAAGCAGCCGGAGAGTCCTCTTGTGTTTGATATTATCGAGGCCCTGCTTCTGGTGATTGAGCAGAGCATGAGTTCAGACGCAGATAAGCAGGAGCAAGACTTCCTCCAGAAAACAGCCGATATCTTCAAGTAAGTGTCCGCACTGAGATGGCTTTCGGAGCCCTTTAACTATGTCAGGCTGTCTTTGGTTTCTGTCGCAGGTGGCAACGGTGAGGCTGCAGTGTATAGAGAGTGTGTCTACACAGCACCCTAAACGCGAAATAAGAAATTGCGTATCTTATTTCAAATCTATTTCAAAATAGCTTATTTTGAAATTTGGCGCATCTACACAGTGCCAAATTTAAACATAAAACGCTATTTCGAGCCATCCCTTATCCCTCGTGCAACAAGGTTTGCCGGGATGGCGAAATAGCACACCCGTTATTTTGAAAAATGTTTCAAAATAACGGGCGGCCTGTGTAGACTTAGGGTAGCTATTTTGGGATACCTCCAGTATCCCGAAATAGCTGTGCAGTGTAGATGTACTCTGTATGGATTAAATATATTTCTTTTTTTTCCTGCTAATTGCACATGATTGGGTCAGGATTCTTTTCCTTCTAAATTGTTTATAGCATTCCTTGTTCAGGCCCCTCCTAGTGACGGATTTCAAATACTGAATAGATTTGAAGGAGGCAACTTCCCTAGATCCCATGCTTCTGAAGTCCATGGGAATTTTTCCGTAGACCTCAGACTGTGCATTGAATCACATGCTGTAAGTGGAAACTCGCCCTCTTTTGTCCAGCATGAAATCACCCAACAATTGATTCTCTTTCCAAAGTGCTGGGTAAATTTTCCAAATTATAAAACGTGATTTACAAGGCCCCGCCCTGCTGGACCTTGCCTTGTGAGCCCTGCAGTGGGTGGGGGAAAGCACCGCTGAGCTGCTGTTCATGGTCCTGCAGCAAGGACTCTCACTTTCCAGCAGGAGATTATTTTGAGACACGTGCTATCCTCCTACGGGAGGTGCAGAGACACATGGGACTAACACATTCCTGAGTTCTCTGGTAGTTGACGTCATCCCAGCCAGCTTCGGGAGGGAGGGTGTTTTTATGAATAGAGAACCTCCATGTGCAGAAGCAGAACTGTGTGTGTGTGTGTGTGTGTGTGTGTGTGTGTTTGGGGTTGTTAAAGAGTACAAGAGGGGCTGATAGCACAGACTGGCATGAGGCATAGCGTGCTGTGCACAGTACGTGGCACCCTCCTATCCCCAGCAGAACCCTGCTCCAAGCACCTTCAGTTAGGAGTCACTTTCTCACCTCCAGCTGCTGCTGTGCATGTGCCTTAGTACTGACAAGCTTGGAGGCCACCGAATTTGTGAGTGTGGATCTCTAGATGAAAGGTTTGCAGAGCAGCTGCTCTGCAAACATGGCCGCCCTTGAATCGAACCGCTAATGAGTCCTGTAAGCAGGGTTACCTGTGGCTGCAGCATGGCTCCCGTTTCCAGCTGTGAGGTGCATGCTGGGTAACTTTTGAGCCCTGCCATGGAGGGGTAATGCCAGCGCATTGCTCCCAACTCTCTCTCCCGAGGTGACAGCCTTGCGTTTTTATGGCCCGTGTCCCTTCGAACGTTCTTTTCAGGAACCGCTTATGTAGAGCCAAGCAGTACTGTAAGAGCGTGGGTGACCATCAGGCAGATCTGCATGCCCAGTTGGAGAGCCTCGTGAAGAGAGCCAGCAAGCACACGGACTCTCCGGTGGCCCTCTACTATTTCAGGTGGGTAGCGAGGCTGGGAGAACTCTCTCGCACAGGGCTAGGATCGGAGCCGTATTTGCAGCTCTTGCAAGTGGGTGCAGTTGCACTGACGTCAGTGGAGGCCTGACGCGAGGTCTGTCTTCGGTCCATGTGCTCAGATGAACAGGCAGTTTCGCTGTGTGAGTAGGGAGGGGCCTCCGTTCAGGTTGGTGGAGCCAAAGATGTTGGGCTCGTGGGCTGAGGAAATGGCGCCAGTGTTTCAAGTGGTTAACTGAAGGGTGGGCGGTAGCAGTTTTCTCTGTGCTCCATTGTAACCTCTTAGTTACGGTAGCACTGAGAACATGCCAAGAGAGAGAGCCGGTGAGACGACGTTGACCGGTAGATCCGGGGGAATCACGCAGGTTGGAAATCCCTAGGAGTCTGTAGAAGTCGGGGGGGGAATGTCCTGAGAATTGTGGGCTAGCGGCTGAGCTGCCAAGCTAGGAAAGTGGCCTGCCACTTGGAAGCACCGATGATATGAGAAGCGAGATCTGTCGTGCTCCTCTTGCCTGAGATATATGGTCCCTCCCAACTGGTAGAAAGTGCAAAGACTCCCTCTGGCTTCCGCAGCAGGCGATAGAATTGGGTCCGGATACTATCTGATCCAGATGGGAACTGGTGTCACTTCAGGGCTGGATTCCCCTTGCTGCATGCATCTTAAGAGCCTCTTTCCCCATCTGTATTTCCTGGGGGAAATGCAGCCTGAGCTTTACGCTGCTGACAATAGCAAATGGGAGGGGAGCAAAGCTCCACTTGACAGTGTCTGCTTCTCTGCAGGTGGGTTAGGCTCTCCCAGGCGGCTGGTGCTGCCCGTATTTATTTCTTCGGTTGCTCTGTCACGCCGGAAAAGGTGGGAGACTTTGAGCTAGTCCTTTCCCATCTCTGAGCCGTCCACGACGTAGCGCTGTAAACGTGCCTGGTTAGGTTTGACTCAACTGTAACATTGTGCTTCCCTCTGTAATCTGTGGGCTGTATCCCCCTGGGCAAAGACTGCCTTCCCACTACATGTGAACAGTGCCTAGCGCAATAGGGCGGCTGTAGGCGCTAACAGAATACAGTAAAGGAGAGAGCAAGGCACTGGGCTAGCCTTGGGTAGGTGTCACGAGAGCTCCTGACGTAGCCGTCAATGAAACAAGCGACCGCGTTCGAGCGAGGAGACCCAGCCTCCAGGCCCGACTGTTGGCCTGGCTGCAGAACGCTGAGAGAAGCAGCTTGCTCTGTTGGTGTGGCCAGTGGCCTGCTTGTGAATTCTGGTGGAGATCTGGTTGCAGGGCCCTCGGTCTTGGCTTTCGGGCTCTCACCTCAACGCTGCCCGTCTCTGTTTTTGTGTCCGGTGCAGCGCCTCTTTGTACCTGTTCAAAGTGCTGAAAGGGAACATGGCCAGAGAAGAGGCGGCGACTCTTTCTTCTTCGAAAAAGAAACAGAAAAATAACAAAGAGAACAGTGCGCAGACTGACCAGGTAAGAGGGCCGGCCACCGTGCTGGGATGTGGTCACAGATTGTTCCCCGGTGTGCTGATCATGCCACTGACGCCCGCCTCCTTGCTCTCAGGGGCTCTCCACCAGCCTGTTGTGCTGGGCCAGATCCTCTGCTCTTCAGCCCAGGCACAAAGAGCCTGGAGAGCAATGCAGACCCTGAACTGTTTCCGCGGTGGGAGGATGTAGTTCTAGGGCACTGGACTTAGGAAACCAACCCTCCAAAGGGATCAAACTCTCAGATAACTCCATCTGTCTCTGTGTAAGAGTTTTCCACTGTGAAAGGTCGTTCAGGAAAGCTCCCCTTTAGCAATGAAAGAGGGATATGCACAGTGGGTGTTTCCCCACGTAACAGTTATTTACACTGGGCTTGATAGTAAACAAAAGTGTCTTTAGTAAGTACAACCAGTAGGGCTTAAGCAGTCGTTTGTGAAAAACGATCAAAATAAGTTACAACATTAAAATGAAAAGAAAACACACAGCTAGTTCTAAGTCATTAAAAATGTATTGCAAGCAGTTTCTTACCCTAAAAAGCTGTTCTTATTTCAGGCAAGCCTTCAAGCCAGGGATGATCTTTTACTTTGACTTGGGTCTCCAGTTCTTTTTGTATCCTAGGGTGTCAGGCTGTTCCCCAGGGAGGACAAAGACCTGATAACTTCCCTTTGCTTAAATAGTCTTTCCCCCAGGACAGGAATCTTCTGTTCTCAATTCCCTTTTCCATGGAAAATTACCTGGCCAAAATGGAATCCCAGTAACAGGTGGTATGGTCATATGTCGTGCTAGTCCAGTCACCTTTGAACTTACAGGACAAAGAAGGCCGTTCACAAGTTGTTACGTTCATCAGCCAGTCAGTCGTTCAGGCTTCCAGGCTCTGATTAGCACATTTAAAGCTATAAACAGTCTCAGGCTTCATATTTCTAACTTTATATACAAAAACGCAACATGCACCAAAATAAGATCCAGCAGATTGTAACATGAACATTGAGAGGTTACATGAAGTATTTTGTCCAAAGCATCTCTGAGTTATGCATATGCATATTCATAAGCCACTTTCATAAAGCTTGGGGCGAGAACTGTCACAGCCACCTTCCCAGGAAGGGCTCTACATGGCTGAGATCCCAGCTGGCTTTTTATTGTCAGTCTGCACTGCACTCCGCAGTTGTGGTCCCCCACAATGTCCTGCTCTCTGATCAGAGGTAGGATGTGAAATCCTGCTTAACCAGTTAAATGTTATGTTGCTCCCCTTCCTGCGGTGAGTGGTGGGACTGCTCCAGGCCGTGACTGGTTAACCATTCACATCCCTAATCAGAAGACCCCTTTGGTTCCTGCACTGCTGTATCCTCGCTTCCCTTTCTAGCCTGTCTCCATCTTAACCACCTGGACATCTTAACCGTCTCTCCTTCAGCCATCAAAGGGTTGCTAATACGTTCCTGGGTGCCTGCTAACTGAATAGTAGATCGGGCCCCATGGATACATATTCATGCTTTTTATCCCATTGTTCTCATGGATCTCAGCGCCACTACCTCTGCCTGCTGGCTCTCAGCCCTCTCCCAGGAGGAGTGGGGTGGTATTGGTTGGCCTTTATGCCCCCTCGGATGTCTCGGGGCATGTGTACTCTGCTGTGGTGCAGCTGTGCCCTGTAATGTAGACACTTCCTACGTTGGTGGAAAGGTTTTTCCCCTCAGTGTAGTTCAGCCACCTCTAGGTCGATGGGAGAATTCCTCTGTCGACCTACCTGCAGCAACACTGGGAGGTAGGCCTATTGTAAGGACATGTCCCAGGAGAGAGCATTTTTCACGGCCCTGAGCGATGTGACTATGTCCAGCTAACTTTCCGGTGTAGTTGAGGCGGTAGAGTTCTCTGAGGCCACCTTGTGCAATTAAGCAGACAGGTCAGAGGGGATCGTGAGCAGACCTGTAATGAGGCTTGGATAAGATTTATATCCCAAGAGTCTGTCTGGTGACTGTTAGCCTAGTGTTCGGGTCTGGGGGTCCATCTGCCCATCCCTAATCACTGTAGCTGTAGGTGGTGCCTGATTCCCCCTCCGCCTACCTGGCTGGGGGCCCCTTTCTGCGGGGCACTGCCATTCACATTGTGCCATATGTGTGCGGTGGGTGGGAACAGAGCACGGCGTAGGCACGAGAGCCAGACGTAGCAGAGCCCCACCATCACAAGGAGATCAGAGTAATTTCACACAGCAAATGATGGGGTGTGTATGGGGAGGGAACCCCTCTGTGTATTCCCAGAGGTATGTGTGTCAAAAACCTCCCCAGTGCTGACAGCTCTTTAGGCAATTGGAATCTTGTTTGTAAAACTGAACTGCTCTGCACTGCTCTCAGCTGAGACTAGTGGGTGGTAACCCAGCCGATGGCACCATGGCGCATCTCACCTGTGCATGGAGGCAGCGTTGCCTAGTGGATTGTCAATCGGAAACCTGGGTGCTGTTTTTAGCTCTGCCACTGATCTGCTGCATGACGTTAGATGGGAGTCTGGAGCTGTTCTGAAAATCTTAATGTCAGTCTCTTGCCGTGCCTTAGTTTTCCCTATCTACACAGTGGGACTAAGGAGAGTTCCCTTTTGTAAAGTGCATGGGGAGCTACAAATGAGCCAAGAGATCTTGATCCAGCATTCCTCGCACACTCCAAGCACGTGTGAGTTCGGGTGCATGCGGAATATGCTGAGGTAGGCATGTTGTTTTTGGGGCAAGTGTGTAAGTTGCCCAAGAACGTTAAGTTTTAGCAATCCAGCGCGTGCTCCCAGGTGCTCTTGTATTAACAGACTCAATCCCATTGCTTCCCAAGCTCATCTCTCCCTGCTGTACTTTTCCAGCTTTCGGACACAGGCCTTCTGGACCTGAAGCGAGTGACCACGGTGTATCAAGAGGCACTGAGTGGATTCTTGACCAAGCGAAAGAGTGCTCTCACGGCCGCTATGTTCCTGGATCTTTTGGCCCGCTTCCCGGTAAGTAGAACCCGGAATGTGGTTCGCTGTGTTCCACTATAAACCCTCAGAAAGCAACATGTTTTCTTTTCCTGTTTATTGCAGGCTTGCAAAACAGCTGTGAGGCTTGTAAGGATTTCAGCCTGCTAAGTCTGAGGGCACATCTAGACTACCCTCGGCTTCCGAAAGATATGCAAATTAGGTGCAAATTTGCATGTCTTCCAATCCCTTTTTCAGAAGAGCTTTTTTCAGAAAAAAAAAGCCATCTAGATGGGGTTTTTCGTGCCAAAACCCCCTTTTTCAAAAGAACCCTGTAAACCTCATTTTTTGAGAAATAAGGGTTCTTTCGAAAAAGGGGGGGTTGCGCAAAAAACCCCATCTAGGCTGCTATTTTTTCCGAAAAAAGCTCTTTCCAAAAAGGGATAGGAAGAAGATATGCAAATTGGCATCTAATTTGCATATATTTCCAAAGCTGAGGGTAGTCTAGTTGCCCTAAGAGTCAAAGGAATGAACTATTGTTGCACTCTGCCATTAATACAGTGCCATATGGGGGTGCCGGCATGGAAATTTGAATTGAACTGAAAGGCCATTCATTTTAGGATACATTGTAACTCCCCAGCCAGATGAAATCTGCCCGTGTCATTGGCATCTAATTTGCATATATTTCCAAAGCTGAGGGTAGTCTAGTTGCCCTAAGAGTCAAAGGAATGAACTATTGTTGCACTCTGCCATTAATACAGTGCCATATGGGGGTGCCGGCATGGAAATTTGAATTGAACTGAAAGGCCATTCATTTTAGGATACATTGTAACTCCCCAGCCAGATGAAATCTGCCCGTGTCTATTAGCTTAGGACTCACACTCAAGACAGTAGAGATGCATTCGGCTGGCAGTTCTAGTCCAGCTGCCTTCAGGTGGTGGCTTTTTAGCTGCACAAACAAGATGTTGCCGAGTGTCTGCCGAGGCTCCTGCAAACCAGACACCTGTGCCCATATTTCAGCCTCAGTGGAGCTGAGTAGTCACCCCAGTCCTTTGGGATAGTCAGTGGATGTTGACTCCTGCAGCCTTTGAACCTCTGCACCTACTTGGAACTGGTACTCTTTATATAGGCTGCTTCTAACCCTCGTGAGCCAGCTGGTTTTCTGGGAATCTGTCCAAGAACCTTGCTTTCTGTACCCCTCACCACCTGTTGACTACTGGAAGACTCAGATACACAGAGGCTTTTGGGGAAAGGAGGCTTTAGCGGGGTCATTTCTCCAGCCTCTTCAGCATTGTAAACCCTCTTTGGGGATGAGGCTGACCTGGTGTACTGGACTTGGAGCTGTATTTGAACACATTTCTGTTCCCAAGTGGAAACCCAATCAGACCCCTGATTCATCTCCCCCAGGCTGCTATGGCAGTTTCTTTAGCTTCATGGAGAGCGGTTGTGTTTGCAATAAGCTGATCACGGAACATCTGAGCTGGGGCCATCAAGGAAAGGAGGGGATGGTTTAAAAAGAAACTAAAACCTGTGAAATTCTGTGATGCTTCAGCCCTTCCAGCCGCTGTTGTTTGGGAGCAGGAGGAGCAGCCATTGGACAGCTGTCTCGGGGCTGTTTAGGGGAAAGAGGCTCCAAAATGTCAAACAGCCTAATCTGTGGATTCATTTTCAGATTCTTTACTTAATTCAGGTCTGCGAAGGGGGTGCTTCTGGAAGACTGGTTTCCTTGTGAGGCTGTGCCCTGCCCCAGCCAACTTGACTGCTGTCATGTGGGAAGGGCAAATACCATCTATTGGCCAGAGAGTCTCATAGGTCTACTCCTAGCTCTTCCTTGATCTTGGGGCAGCTGGCTTAGGACCCGATCCTGCAAGATACCAAGTGCCCTTGATTGCCATTGGAGGCACTGGAGGCTAAGGGCAAGGAATCACTTTCAGGATGGCCTTCTAAACCTCCCTGAATTTTCCCATTGAAAGGCGATTGTTTTCTGAGGGTGTGGAAGTGTCTAGTTTCAGTTTTGCCTGTTGCCAGGGCTGTTTATTCACTGAGTCACAGGTCTTGAGTTTCCTCCTGAGTCTCTGTAGTGCTGATAACAGCAGAAAGAGTTCAGGACCATCCATTCTACAGCAAAGAATGTTGCATGTGTCCAATGGCCAGAACAAAGCATTAGAGTTATGGTCACGAAGCTGGGAGATTCATTTAGGGACATAGGAGCTGGCACGTTGAATCAGACTCAGAGTCCGCTAGTCTGATATCCTCTCACTGATAGTGGTCAGTACCAGGGATGTAATAGTATAGGCGATTAACTGATAAGCAAAAGCGAATAAACTACATACATCCCCCCCGGCCAGTAAATTTTTTAGCAGGCTGGCCAGTAGCTCAGTCCTGGCTTGCACTGGGTGCGGGATCTACCGACACTGCTACTCTGCATTTCAAGTGTATGAGGAGCCAGGCAGCTCGGCTCAGTTCTGGCTCACGCCGGGTCTGGGAGCTCAGACGCCACTCTCCCTGGACAAGGGCTGCTGCCACCTTGCGCTGCTGCCTCTATATCAGGCAGCATACCTGCTCCTGCCTGATTCCCCGTGCTGCTGCCTCTGATAGAAACACAGCAGCATGGGGTGACAGGAGGCTCCTCAGGAGTGGGGCTGGAGTGCACTAGCTGCTGGCCCCACTCCCTGGGGACTATAGAATAATCGACTAACCGATAAGAATTCGCGAGGTTAATTGACTATTCATTAGTTGATATTTAACATCCCTAGTCAATACCTGTTTTTTGGCGAGAAATTCAGCAGTGGGCACTGATGGGATTCCCTTACTGTAAGGAAACTTTCCTTGAGCTGCATTAGTTACAGGCTGATTTTCCTGTGCAATCGGTTTCCCTTCCAAAACTCTTGCTTGTTTATTTAGTATTCACCATTCGAAGGGCCTGTCTGCACAAGAAAACTAATCTGGAATAAATTAGCTTTGGGTGTGAATTTAAAGCTAGATAAAGCACTCGCAAAGTGGATTAAGTTAAATCATACTAAAGGTTCTGGAATAAAAGCTGCCAGACATGGAATTAATCAGGAAAACGTCACTTTGTAGACAGACCCTAATTCTGGGTGTTCTCATGCTTCACTGAGACTGTGAAGGTGCATAAATTGTTGGCAAAATCCAGGCTTTAAGCCCACAGTACCAGGCAGGAAATAGGGTGAAATTGTGATCCTATTGAAGACAGAGTTTTGCCACTGACTTCTGTAGAGCTAAGGTTTTGCTCAAAGTTGCTGTGAGCAAAGCATGTTACCTTTTAAGTAGCCAGGTGGAGAATCAACACACACAGCAGCTGACTACAATAGCGGCCTTAAAAAAACAAAACAAAAAACCTAGGCTTTGTGGCAAGGGGTTCTAATAATGGCGGGGTTCTTTTTTGTTACAGGTCATGTGTAAGCCGTTAATAGGCACCCTGGTCAAGTCTATCACAGCAGGAGCCCGGCAGCATCAGCAGGTAAGAAGGAAAGCAAGGAAGCAAAGAGGCATTACAGCCATGTGAAGATGGCACATAATCGTGCTGGCTTATGCTTAATATGGGTATAGCTGCCTTTGGAATCACCTCCTTCTGCAAAGTGGGTTCCCCCAGGCGCGTTCTTTTGGGGCTGTTGCTGGCTCACTGTGGGTCTATGAGGCAGGTTCTGAAGGTTTTGTATTTTCCGGGCCACTCCGTTTCCTCTCAGCTACCGAGCTCTTTCACTGCCTTCTACTGACCAATTCAGTCAGAGTGCTTGACAGGGTCCAGCTGGAAGAATAGTAGAATACGCCCTCACCCTTCTTGCCTTTGAATCACTGCTTGGTGCTCTGAGAGTCAGAAGCTCCTCTTATTAACGCCACGTACGAGGAAATCTCCGTTTCCTAATGCCAAGAACCAGTTCCACGGTTAGCCTCCGGTGCCTGCTTTAAGGCAATTGCTCCAGGCAATCCCCTCTCCTCAGCATGCAGTTCCAGCTCTCCTTTGCTTCCCAGACCAGGCAGTTCTATGTTCAGATCCTGTACTGTGGAAGTTAGGTGGGGTTTGGTTTTGTTTTTTTGCTGTGGCATTGTGAGAGCCAGGCTTTGCTATATGTGTTGTACTACCCACCACGGCCTCTTCACGCCCATGTAGTTGAAACCTGTCTACCAGGATTTTTATAGCTTTAGCCATTGCTGTGACGTCCGAGTGTCTCCCATGAAAACTCCTCGAGGCCACGGGCCTGGTTTTCTAACCGTCCCTTCCCTAGCTGTAAAGTGCTTAGAAAGCCAGCCTGGCGTGACTGTCACTCTTTAATTCCATTGCTGTTAATGATCAGAATACAAAGGACCAGATTCTCATCTATACTAAGGCTTCTGGGTGTAAATGAAGTTGGTTCACACTGATAAACCCCTTTGTGCTGCCAAAGCGACCTTGATGTAAATTAAAATTGGGCCCAAGTGGGCTTTGTTGGATAGAGATGGGAACAGGACTCATTAATAATAAGCACATTCATTAATTGAAGCACATTCTTGGCTCTGCCCTGGCTAGGGTTGCCCGGTGTCCGGTTTTGAACCAGACAGTCCGGTATTTGAGGGTTCTGTCTAGGAAACAAATTGAGACAATATCGGACATATAAAATGTCCGGTATTTTCTAATTAGGTACGTTTTATTATTAGTAGGAGTATCAGTACCTAGTTGTGAACTGCCTGGCTGGTAGACACTCTCACGCTGTGTGAGCGTGTCTACCAGCCAGGTAGTACGCAATTACACAGGGGGCAGGGGAGTGGGAGGGCAGGATGGACTCCCCGGGGCCGGACTCACCTGTGTGCCCCGCCAGGACTGTGTGCGGGATGGGCAGCACCCCAGGATCTGCATGTGCCTGGGTCATTCCCGCTCCCTGCTGGCTGATTCTCTCCCTCTGCCGCCCCCGACTCCCTCTCTTCCTCCCCTCCCCGCGGCCAGCCCTGCTCCCCTCCCAGCCAGTACCCCACCCCCCCAATCTGAGATCAAGTATGTCTGGTTTTTTTATTTTTATTTTTATTTTTTTTAGCCATCTGGTAACTCTTGCCCTGGCGAGACCAGGCTGTATCCCTAGCCGAAAGCTTTGTTTGTATTACTATTGCTGCTTCTTCCATGGGGAGTAAGGACCCTTTCCTATAGGGCATAGGTTCCCAAACTGGAGGGCGCGCCCCCCAGGGGGCGTGAAGAAATTCCAGGGGAGGGCACGAGGCGACCCAGGGCCCCCCGCCCTCTGTCAGTCTCTCCCCCAAGAAAGAGCCCACTCCATCCAGTAAAAAAAATTAGAAAATACCTTGTGAGATGTCCAGTATTTTCTGTTTTTCCTGGCTCAGGCGGCCACTGGAACATGCACAGCTCAGGCCAGGGGGAGGATGGAGCATCCCGGGCAGACTTCAAAATGCCTGCTCTGCTCTTAAAGCGCAACCTTCTTTTACTGACCCAAAAAAACCCCAAAACTTTTCCCCTGGAGTACCAGAACCTTTTTTTTTTTACATTGGTCCCGGAAATTAAAGGGGTCACAACTGTTTTTCAGCTCTGATTTTGTCTTTTGTTTTTTCCTCAACAGGTTTTTGCTGTTGCCTTTTTTTTTTTTTTTTTGAGTGGGTGGGAATGAGGGTTTCTCAAAAATCAAAAAGGGAGCGTGATGCCGAAAAGTGGGAACCACTGCTGTAGGGATTCCCTTTGTTATGAGAGAGTGGTTAGCAGGAGAACTCTGGGTGTGTGGTGGGGGAGAGAACGTGAACGTGGCTTGATAAAGAACAGGCTGGTGAAATGGGATTTTTGTTTTGTTTTGTGTGTGTGTGTGTGTGTGTGTTTGAGTCTCACGTAGCAGCTGATTCACTGCTGTCAGCCACCTGAATCACCCAGGCTGCACCCATTTCAGGAGATTTGGCTTCTTACAGTCAGAATTCCAGTTCTTTGATTGGAGGTGAGGAGGAGGAAGGGTGTCTGTCAAACCCTCCCGATGGGTGAGAAGTAGGGAATATCCTGTCCCCTTACCTAAAGTTTAGGAGGCATGCCACAGACGGGTAAGGTGGCATGGGCATAGGAGGGGGCACTTGGTGTGATTCTGAGCTATGGTGTGTAGCTCATTGGCAGCCCTTGGGAAACTCGTGAATTAGAACAGCTCCGAAGAGGATCTCATTTATACACAGGGCCCAGAATCATGTAGGTGCAAAAGTGGAGTGAAGCCACCTTTGGCTCACCCTGGTCTTTGCCGTCTGTACTGTGCCTAGGAGCATAGAATTTGCTGGCCTGGAACAGACCCAAGGTCCAGCTAATGGAGTATCTGGTCTCCAATATCAGATGCTGCGATAAATGTCCACGTTATAAGTCGTCTGGATATTCTTGATGGCCATGGGAACGTCCTTGAATCTGGCAAAGTTCTTGGTCTCAACTCTTTGTAACAGTGAGTTCCAAAACCTCTGGATCCACAGAACCTGACCCTGTCTCGCTGTGGAGACGTGGCATTTTCTGCAGAGATATATTCAGGGGGGCATTCAGAAGCATTTAGGTATGCTGAGAGGGGTCTCTCTTTAGCCCGATGGGTTAACTGACAGGTTGTCTTCTGCTGAACTGCTGCTAGGCAGAATGCCCCAGGCAGAGCCTGCAGGAAGTACCCGTTCCAAAGGATCAGGGTGGGTCAGATCTGGGTTTGGATTTTCGTCTTAACGCTTTTGTCTACAGTTAGGAAATGGTGAAAGGAGCCTGGAGCCTGTTACTTTGGATTAAGGGGGTCTGCTAGTGGATTTGTGCAGCTGAGCATGTGGGGAGACAGCATGCTTTTGTGGCGAGGACTTGGGGCGTCAGGAGATGTGGGTTCTATTTTGGCCTAGTCCTGCTGGCTGATCTTGGGCAAATGGCTTCCTCTTCCTACTCCTCTGTTTTGTCACTCACTGTTCATCTGACTTGTCTGTTTTAGATTGTAAATTCTCGGGGGCAGGGACTCGCTCTTCGGTGTGTATGGTACCTAGCAAAACGGGGCCACCGTCTGGCTGCGGGGCAGTTGTCATATGAGGAGTTAAGAGCCACTAATAATGGGGAGCACCTTCAGTTTGTCGTAAATCTGTGTGTGGGGAAGCGGGTGAGAGAGACGGGCGCAGCCTGAGCAGGATTTCACTGTTTGTACAGAGCTTAGCACAAAGGGGTCTGACCTGGCCAGCCTCTAGACACAAGCACAGTGTTTAAATAACAACAGTGTGTTTGTTGACCCCGTGCATGGCTGCGATCTCTGTTCCTTTACATAGCATTTACAAAACCATTGTAGCCTTTTTCCCGGGGCTTCCGGTTGTCCTGGCACCACCAAACCCTGACCTTGCTTTAAGTTAGGAGAAGAGGAAGCTGCCTACTAAATTTTGGAGGCCCTAGCTCTTACCATTTCGGAGTTCTTGAACAAATGGACTAGCAGACAAACACACTTTAAAATAAACTCCTAGAAAATAACCCCAGGAGGCCACGAGTGGCCAAGTTGCCCTCTACTGTACTAACAGGGGTGGGGAAAGCAATAGATGTGACCTGTCTTGATTTTAGTAAGGCGTGGATGGTTCCACATGACATCCTCAACAGCAAAGTGGGGAAATGGGATCTGGACGAAATTACTATAAGGCTTGAAGCTCATTACGTTCCCGTGGGTAGAGTGAGGGGAGACCTTCTGACGGAGCACAAAGCTCTGACGTTTGTCGTGGGAGGCAGCGGTCACATTCCAGATGCTGTATCTCCTCTGAGCTAGCAGCAAAAGAACATGCCCATGTGATTCTTCTGGCTAAAAATCTTCAAGCTGTTGAAACGAACCCCTTCTGCTTGGCAGTGCTTGACAGCTGCTCCGTCTGCACTGTCTTTCAGATCTCAGTTTTCCCTTCAAGGGCTGGGGGAAGGAGGCTGTGTATGGTTCACATTATAAAAATGCACAAAGGCTTAAAGTCTTTAAAGTCCCCTGTTCATTCCTTCTTTTACGATACTTTCTACCATTGCCTCTGATACAGAGGCAGCAAGAGAGGGGAGTGAGTGTAGTTGACAAGATTAACTGCTAAACCCAGGTTTATTGGTTAATTGTGTGGTTTAGTGTTTCTCGACCTTTTTTTTTAAATAAAATACCCCTTTTTCAAAAAAAGAAAAGAAATAAGTACACCCAGTACCTACAGTTTTCAGACACACAATTTTTTTTCTATCATTGCAATAAAATGTTTTAAACAGCTTAATCATAGCTGGGCGGGTGATGAAATTTTTGGGTGTCAAAAGTACAAAAATAACAAAGCGCTGTAAAACTTAAAACAAAAATTCAGTTTTCTCCAAATGTCAGTTGTGTTGATGTATGCCACAGACTTCTCTCGAGTACCCCTAAGGATACTCGTACCACTGGTTGAGAAACACTGGTGTAGTTGACTACATGTCGACGTCCCTAATGAACATAGCTCATTGCTTGTTTATTGTGGCGTTTATTTACTGCACTGCTGTTGCTGGCAATAGGGACTTTTTAGTAAAAG